TTTTGGAGGGTGGGGACGGCGCTTCGCGCTTGGTGATGTGAGAGCCTGGTCCGGTGAGAACCCCCCCCCCCCCCCCCCGAGAGATAGATACATAACTGCACCTGGAGCGGTCGTTCCTCTGCTCCTCTCGTGGAGTTATACATGGAAACCTTAGCCTCGAGGGCCCCAGAGTACACCCTGAAGAAGCGACAGGAGGCCTCTCTGCTTGTCGTGCGTAACCTTCTCTTCCCCACGATCGACAAGGCAGAATAAAAAAAAACAAGAAACACGACAGCGGGCAGAGCACGTGCACATCAGAAACACTCGAGAAAAAAGGCCGATGGCAGATGCAGCGAGGGGGTGAGAAGAGCGGAGAGGATGGCTGCCCAGAGGACGGCGACAGAAAAGAGCCGCTCTTGCTTTGGCCTTGCGTTGGCGTTCATGTGGTTGACACCTCCTTTGCGGCGGCTGGCACGCCAACCCGACAGACACAATCCAGCCTTGCTCCCCCAAACCCCCAACACAGCCGAAGAAGAGCACAAAAAGCCCGACTCCACCCACCGCACCTTGAAAACGAAAGCGACCAGGTCGTCCTGCAGAGGGTCCACCTCAAAAACCGCCCCTCCCTCTTCCGTCCCCGCCGCCCCCGCGCCGCCGGCGGCCCGAACACCGGCACCCTCCCTCCTCCTCTTCTTCCCGCCGCCGCCGCTCCTCGACGCCGGTTCCCGCACGACCCCGGTCGGTCTCGGCCGGTCCAGCGGGGAGGGCAGGAAGGTCGAGACGGAGTCCAGCAGCGGCTCGACCCCGATGCCGCGGAGGGAGGAGCCGCAGAGGACGGGGACGGCGGCGCGGGAGAGGCAGACGCGCCGCACGGCGGACAGTATCTCAGGGAGGCTGTAGAGGTCGTCGTTGGCGTCGTCGCTGCCGCCGCCGCCCCGCTGGTCTCGCTCTAGGACCAGCTCGGCGAAGGCCTGCTCGAAGCCCGCGGCGTGTGTCATGTGTCATGGTACGGTAGGGTCGTGGGCGTGGGGCAAAGGGGGAGACGCCAGCACGCGGTAACCACCACGAGGTGGAAAAAACGGTGGGGTGAGCGGCGGGAAACAAGAACAAACAGAAACGAACGTAGTTTAGACCGGTGCTGCCTACCCGAGGAGCCCGAGAGCGAGGCGCGGACAATTAGCGCTGTTGCAGAGGCCCCGTCACATCACTGTCGGGGAGATGGGGGGGCGATCGTTAGATTCGACTTCCCCTGGATGTCTATCTCTGCAGCAGCACTGGTGGGTGAAAATGTGTTCAGTCCTCCAAGCACGGGGTGATATTGCAAACTTCTATCCACCGAGGTCGCGGGGGGGGGGGGTACTCATAGTCGTGCATGCCGTAGTCGTTTGACCATTGACCTCGTATCCCTACAAAGCCGGGACGGAGCACGCCGGGTTCTCACCGGACCAGGCGCTCACATCACCAAGGGCGAAGCGCCGTGAGGTATTCGGCGAGTCGCATGAAGGGTGAGCTGCATCCTGCTAAGGGTGTTCGGCATCTTGTGCTTACTTCCTTGCGTACGAATGACAGCTGCGTATGACTTAATTTATTTTCTGTTTTTTTCACTTCCAGAGACAGTTATAAGCACTGTGTAACTGCCTCGAGGATGCTTGACCATTTTAACACAACGTGGTGCGATCACCCCCCTTGCGCGGAGTGAGGGTTCTCAACCCCGCACAACATGATCTACTCGACAACCATTATGGTTACCGCCAAAAAAAAAAACAGAGGTAAAAAAAAAGAACGGTAACCTGGTTGCCGAGTTCACGAAGTGACTTGGCTTGTTTTACAACGTCGTTGCGAAGCGACGAAAACCCAATCCCGATGGCAAACACCGAGGGGGGGGCTTGTTTTACAACGTCGTTGCCAAGCGACGAAAACCCAACCCCGATGGCAAACACCGGGGGTGGGGGGGTGGGGGGGGGGAAGGTGCAGCATGTATCTCGACACAAAAAGTGATCGATCAAGGCCATGAATGTACCCACACACCGGGTGCTGACGAGAAGCTGACAACCAAAATATACTTCACCTCGTCCGCATCGGCCAGGGCCCAGAGCAGTTCCTGCCTCGCCGCGTTTGCCCGCTTCACCGTCCCCGGGAAAATGTCGTTGGCGTGGTCAAGTGGCAGCGTCACGAAGGTAACGCTGTCCCTGCACGCGCGTGCATGTCTTGCTGGGTTCAGTTCGTTTGCGTTCAGCCCATGGAAGAAATCGGACATACAGCAGCAGAAAAATATTTTAAAAGAAAAACAGCACCTCAAAGAGACTTGTCAACCAGCATCACACGAAGCCCCTCAGTCAGAAAAAAACACAACGAGGGGCGAGGTAAGGGGAACGAAGGCTGGTCGGTGCGGTGTGAACGCCAAATCGCCCCCCTTCCCTGTCGAAACAGAGGTCACAGGACACAGATGTCCCCGGTGATTGGTGAGGAGACGCAGGGGGCCACGGGTCGAGCGAGGTTGGCACCCCTCCCCCCCCGCTCACTGTAAAACTTCTCCCCTCGTTGTTTATACGAACGGGCCCCGCGTCCTTTACGCCCTGTAAAAACCCTGGCCTTACCTGGCCGATGCGCGCATTTTCCCCAAGCCGTCGGCCCCCGCTTGGTAGAGGATGGCAGTCATGGTCACCAAGTCTACCATGCCTACGAAGTCCGTCCCCGTGCCCACCGGTATCTGAGCAGGCAGATCAAAAGGAAGGGAGGAGCGGGGGGGGGGGACTGGTCAGCGGGAACGGAGATTTTCCTGCGGAGTCTGATAGCGTGGTCGATGACTTATCGAGGACCAACAGACACACACAGTACGCGCCCACCACTTAAGAACGTTGGTAGTAAAGCACTTGAGGGTCAAAATGTTACGAAATGTAAAAATAGAACCCAAGCCAACTCCTATCTGGTGTGTACTTCCCCGTTTCTACCTCCACAAAGGAAACAAGCAGTGAGCCACGGGCAAAACAGGAGTCCTAAAGCTGTGGCGGCCACTCCCACTGCTGCACATACATCACGCTGCGAAAGTAACAGCATCTCTGCAAATCACCACACAGCAAAAAACGCGTATGGTACCGAACTAGAACAGTTCCTGGGCATTCATCGGCTCTTGGATTATGGTAGATGGGGCTCTCGCCTGCAGAGGGAGGGGGAGCACTCCCAGCCGGCGCTCCAGAGTGCCCAAGACGTGCTTGAAGTCGGCTCCTTGCCGGTCAAGCTTGTTCACGAACGCGATCGCTGGGATCTCGTGCTTCTGCGCCGTGCGCCAGACCGTTTCTGTTTTCATGGCAAGGGCAGCGTGTTTCGGAACCCGTGTGCACATCAATGCCCACATGTATGTGCTCTGTGTGTGCGTGAAGTCCGGAGGCTGATCCGCTGCCGGCATGAACACGGCCTAGATGCTTTTGTTGCCATGCATCTCTCGCTTGCGCCGGCGGCCCTACGCCGATCACTACATCGACAGCGAACTTCAGCAGTGGATCGCCAGCCCCACGCTCCGCTAAGTCCTGTTCCTGAACGCCTGCAACACACACAAGAAAGCTTGGGCGTCGCTCTCTCTCTCATAGCACACACGCCCGCTAACCGATCGTACCTGTCTGCGCCTGGACCCCCGCCACCCCGTCGAGGACAAGGACCGCTCCATCCAGCACGCGGGCGCACCTCTCCACCTCAAGCCCGAAGTCCACGTGCCCCGGCGTGTCGATCACGTTGATCCTCCCTCCCCCCCACTCCACTGTCACGGCGGCGCTCTGGATGGTTATCCCTCGCTCCCGCTCCTGCGGCATGAAGTCCGTGACCGTGTCGCCTGAGTCTACGGATCCCTGTTTCGGGTTCGACGACGACGGTGGAGCATGGGGCTCACGCGATGAGCGGCAGAAGAGGGGAAGCCCACGCACGCCGTGGTTTGGGACGTGCTCCAGAAGCATACACACGACTTACGGAGTGGCGCGCCAACCCTTCATGCACAATCAGGTACGCATCGTTCAATAGCAGATGAACGCAAGTATTGTGTGTACACGGCGGTGAGGTTTGGTAAAACAAACATACACGCCGGTACATGGCCATTGCCGAACCATCAGCTATGCATGCACGCAGGAACAGATGTGCACAGGCACAAGGGTGCATGTTGATGTGCGATACGATGCGCCCACCCAACTGATCCGTAAAGTGTGCAAACTGGTCGAAATCCTTGCGTCTACACCATACTGTTGGGCAAAAGGATCTGAGGTGCTGTACGCATGTTTGTCAGGGCGTCCGAGTGACATACTTCCGTAAATGGTCCCGCACGTAGATGACAACAGCAAAGTTAGCGTCTAAAACATGCCTACGCTGAGCCCCGCTCCTGCTTCGAGCCACGCGGTGCAAACCTATCGTGCTGATTGATGCCCATGACGACAATCCCCTGTGTACTGGCGGTGGGGTAGGTAGCAGGTATTAGATATATTGGGAGTACTCGTAGCATAGTATGACGGTTGAGATGTCCGGTACGTACGTACGAAAGTAACAGCAATGAGATGCGGAGGGATAGGAACTTTCTACATATATTCCTTGGTTGCGAGAGGTATTTGGTGGAGATTCAGAGAGATTCGTTGAGTGACAAAGAGTGAAGGCGTGCCCAGATACCGTGAAGGTTTGACGAGCACTGGCACGCCCCCGATGAATACAATACTTTCCAATACTTTTGCATTACGTTTTCAACACGTTTCCTACCCATCCACGCTCCGCCATGAGCCACCCGCTTTGAGCTCCAACCACAAAGAACCGAGCCACCCGAATTAACGATCACGCTATGACACGTCGTCTACGAGATTCGCGGTCGAGCTTGGTTTAGGAGCATCGCCTTGCGGCGATCGACAGCAGGGTCAAGATGGCCTCCAGGCGCGAAGATGAATCCCGCCCAGCAGCGGAAGCCCGCCAAGCAGCGGAGGACGCCAGGATCGAAGAACTGGTCAACGAGCGAGTAGCAACTCGGATGGAGCAGCTGATGGAGGAGAAACTGGCCAAGAAGATGGCCGAGATGGAGGTGCGGCATCGAGCCGAGCAGCAGCGGGGAGGAAATGAGGAACAAGAGGCAGCACACCAGCAAGATTCTGGGCGCCCAACACCCAACCCCTCCGCAGACGAGCTGGCCGACGCGATTGCGACTGCCATGGCCGGTCGCCTCCAAACCTCAGGGGATATCGGTGAAGTGTCTCACCCCGCAACTCTTCGTATGACTGAGAGTAGAAGAATTGAGCCTTGGGATGGTGTGTTTAAGTCGGGGGACAGTAGGCAGCAGAAGCTTTTGATTTTTCGATCGAGCATGGTAGCACGCTTTGCGCAGGAGGATGTTCACGAAGTAGTGATGAGCAACCAAGACATCCCAGTAGGGAGGCAGGGGATCAGTATGACTGACCTGAAGACTGAGTATGGCGAACAAAAGGTAGCCAAGGCTATAGTGGCATGGAATGTGCTAATCACGTCAATCTCGTACATGCCGATTCTGTCGGAAATCGTGTCGGACGGGAGCCCGAGTGGTGGCTGGAGGATTTTCCTCAAATATTACGAGCCACAAGCGAAAGCGGAGAAGAAAAGACTTTTGAAAGAGT